TCAAAGAGCTTACATTCTAATGAGGGACACAATATCTATAAACAACAACATAATTGCAGAATGTATGAAAGATAATATTAGCAGGAATAACAGGAGCATCTAGGGGCACCAGAAAAGGCCTCCAGAAGGAGATGACTCCTGTCTTAAAGGATGACAGAGTCTCACAGTTGGAGGTGAGAAAGGAGAGCATTTTAAGAATAGGTAAACAAAAGCCAGTGTAAAGAGATAAAGATGGGAGCTGGGTTCAAGGAACAGCACGTAGGACGGTTTGGCTAGATCACAGTCTATAAAGGAAATAATACGTTAAAAGATTGGAAAAATAGGTGAGGGAGCAGGTTGTTAAGAACTTTAATGCCATCAGAGTTTATCTTTGAATCTTGACATGGTAAGAAGTCAATGAAATTAACTGAGTGAAGGGATGATATAGTCAGACTTACATTTTGGAAATCCAAACGGAGGATAGATTAGTGTGGGAAGAAACTTCAGGAAGGGAGTCCAACTAAAAGGATATTACAATAGTTCAGGTGCGAGTGATGGGGGCCTGAATGAGAGCAGTGGCTACATGATACTGACAAGGAAATTCATGTGTGAGGCCTTACAAAGGAATTACAAAAGTTGGCAACTGACTAGATATATAGGGTGAGTGAGTGAGGAGTCAAGGATGACGTTGAGGTTACAAACCTGGATGACTAGACTGATCTACCTTCAAAAGTAACGGAGAAGGTGGGAAGGGGATTGGGTAAAAAGATGAATTATTTTGGACATGATGAATTTAAGATGTCTGTAGGAACTCTAATCTGAAATATATAAAAAATAGTTGGTGTTGGGTGACTGGAGTTTAACAAAAATTTGAGGTCTGAGGTCTATATGAATAGAACTGAGAATCATCAGTATTAAGATGATCAATGAACCCATGAGAGCTGATGTGATCACTAAGTGATGGAATAAAGACAGAAAAGAGAAGATGGTCTTGGACAGACCTCTGAAAGACTAACAATTATCAATCATAATACAAATGAAGAACCAGCAAAAGAACTCTAGGGCCAGTCCTCCTCACACTCTACCACCCTGCCTCTGTCACTGTATTGGTTGGTTATGCTTAACTGTTTCTGTTATAAGGGAGGTTTGGTTCTATTAGAGGTATGTGGTATATTGGGAAATGACTATGGTTTAAAAAATAAAAGTCATTAATAAGATTTTTTTTTAAAGAAAAAAGGTCATTGGTAATCACTAAAAGATGAATTTCAACCAAGCACTAACAATGGATGTTGAATAGCAAGAGGTTAAGAAGAATGGGTTGTGAGGAAATATAGATAAAATAAGAGACAACTTTGGTGAACTCTGATAAAGCCTATGGACATCTCAAAATATTTTTAAATGCAACAAAAAATCTGACTAGGATCAGAGATCCCTGAAGTGACTGTCAGTGTTACTATTCACTATAAAAACCACTACATTGACCTACTGTCCTACCACTCCTCTCTTAAAGCAATATTACATTCAAAACACCTTATATTTCTGTAGCATTTTACAAACTAGTTTTCAATGTGTTTTCACATGCATTATCTCATTTGATCCTTTCTATAACCCAAGAAGCAGTTAGGACAAGTTGTGGTATCTTTATTTTGCATATGAGGAAATCAAAGACCTTGTCTAGAAGTACAAAATGAAAGAAACACTATTGGAAAGTAGTTAATCTGAAAAATAAAAAACCAGGTACTTTAGAGGACTACAAAAAATAAAAAATAAAAGAGAGTCAATAATGTCACATGTTTGCCAAGAAATATCTGATGATAGCTTAAGCAGCAAGCAGCATTAAGACAGACACAATAATTGTTGGTAGAGCTGTGTACTATTATAATCATTTTGGAAAGGAAATTTGGAATTGTGAAAAGACAGTGACTTAATGCCCATACCCTTCGACCAAGAGATTCCACTGATACACACAAACACCAAGGAAACCAATGACAAAAGAGGAGGTCTCATAATATACTAAAATATTCATTGTAGCAAAGAATGGGAAACAAAGTAGATGCCCAGAAGTCAAGGAGTAATTCAACAAATTGTGACATAAGACATGTGATGAACGTTATGAATACAAAGAAGCATGGGAAGACTTATATAAATAAATGAATGAAAAATAAAGTTAAGTAGAACCAGGAAAACAACATACACGATGACTTCAATGACGTAAATGGAAACAACAACAAAACAACCGAAACTGAATGTTGTGAAATTATTTTAACTTAGCTAAGCCCCAAAGAAGAGATTTAAGAAGATACCTCTCCCTACTTTTTTGCAAAAAACAGGTAGAGTTTCCAAGAAAAAGAAGGTGATAATATTGACCCCCTTTGCCATGGTCAGGCTGCAATAAAAATATTGTATCCCATTCAGGAAGTCACATTTAAGGAAGGTCATTACAAGCTGGAGAATACGTGCAAAAGAGGGAAGCCATGGTAAAGGACTTTGAGGGTCCTGTCATGGTAGAATGGGCTGAAGGAGGTGGAAATGTTTAGCCTGAAGAATAGAAGACATGGAAGCGAGAAGACAACCAAAATAGCTACCTTAGAGTATTTAAAGGACTTTCACTCGGAAATTAGACTGATTCTATCTGGCCCCAAAGGAAGCACTAGAAGCAATGGGTGGAAATTGCAAAGAAGCAAATTTAGGCTTAACACAAAGAAAAATTTCTTGATAGAGTTATCCAGAATGGAGTGAGTTGCCTCAGAAGTTAATGGGTTTCTTCTCACTAAAGATCTCCCAGGCAAAAAGACTAGAGCACTTGTCAGATAAATTGTAGTAGAGATTCTTTATCAGGTATGAGTAGGACTAGTTAGCCACAAGAGCCTTTCCAAATCTGAAATTTTATGCTTTTGAAATATAATCATATTAGTTTCAGCCTAACTTTCCAATCTAGTAAGATACATTTTTGGATACTGATTCTGTGATTCAGTGTACTAGCTATCCACCCCAGCTTTGTGGAATTAGTAGATTTGATAAACATGACATTCATGTCTCTAGTCATGTTATTAATAATAATTTTCAACAGAACAGGACCAGGGACAGATTACTGGAACATTCCACTAGAAATTTTTCTTCCAGTTGATATATACTCATTATAAACCATAAATCCAGAGGACTGAAGATGAAACACACTACCCACTTTTTAATAGGGATGTGGTGGGCTTAAAATGCAGAATGAGATATCCAAACGTAGCTAACATGAAAATTATGTTCTCAACTATATATATTTATTATGAAGATTTTTTTATTGTTTGGAGGGGGCACCTAACAATGAGAAGAAGAAAGAATAATTCCTACAAAAAGAATGAATATATATATATATATATATATATATATATATATATATACATAAACAAATATATACATATATATTTACTAATCACTATCTCTTAGCTCTGGTCATTCAACAACTGGTTCCAAATCAATTTAAGTCTACTAGCTTCCTAACTACAAATATATTTACTATACAGATATGTCCATGATCATGAAATAGTCAAAATATATTAGAAATGAAAGGAATCTACACACTACTTCCTAATTTGATAAATAAGCAGACATTCAAGGAGACATGACATGTCCAAGATCACATGAGAAACAGGCAGATTTAAATCCGTCTTCTGACTCTAAGTCTAGTATACCATGTTATACCTTCCTTTTATCAACTATAGTCAAAATCATAACGGATACTACAAAGGTAAGAAAATTGAGAGGAATAAAGGCAACATAGTATAGTAAACATCAGCAGGTAAGCTGGAGTCAGGAAACTTGGTTTTGATTCTGGCTCCAATACTTATAAATAGCTATGTGACCACAGATAGACCATTCCACAAGTCTTAGTTTCTTCTTCTGAAAATATAGATGATAACCTTTATTACCACCTACCTCACTAACACAGCTGTTGCAGATAAGGTGCTTTCTAAACTTTTCAGTTCTATATAAATATAAGTTTTTATTTGTTAGCCTAGTGGTCATGGTAAAACTGTTGAGAAATTAGTCTGTGGGCCACCAAATCCTTGTACTCAATAAGCCCAATATTACCAAATTTACAAGACTTCAGAGTTACAAAGACTGAGATCATTGTTATAAAAGAGATCATAGTATCATCTTAAACAAAGCTTTTCATGTATTATGTACAATTAACAGACTTGTGGATAGAATTTTCAATACTAGTATTTTGATTCTATGTAGAGTTTATTTTTAAATGAACTAGAAGCAGATATATTCCAAAGATGCCGACCAAAAAAAAAAAATAGAAAAGGATACTACAGATATAATGAAGAAACAAATTCCCAATAAGAGCAAAAAGAATAAAAAGAATATCAGATTATTAGTAATAAATCTTAGGTCTGAACCTCAATTCTGTGCCTTAAAACTTGTGCAACCTTAAGTAAGTCACTTCAGTATTCTGGGCCTCAGTTTTCTCACATTAAACTAAAGGAGTTAGACTAGAACACTGATCTTTAAAGTTCCTTATATATATAGTTCAATGCTCTATAGTTAAAAGTTCTCCATTTAAAGTTATATTTCACTTTTAACTATTAGACATTTTGACAAAGTAGTTCAAATAAAAGGGCTTAAGTAAAAAAAAAATATTAGATACCCCTCCCCACAAAAGAAAACTTTTCCACATAAAAATCAATTAATTATAAAACATGTATTTCATAATTTTAACCCAATACATTAAACTCACAAAAGGAGACAGTCACACTGTGCTGACTCTTTGCTAAGGCACTTTAGGCAAAGGCTCCTATTTCTACATCATGATTAATTAATAATTAAATGATGCAACCTACAAGAAAAAAAAGTCTACTATAATCAACCACCAAGAAAATGTATTAGATCTAAATGGATGAGAAAGACAGGTAGGAAAACAAGCAACTATGGAAAAATAGAATGAAGTGCATAATACTCTCCACATGGTGCATAACCTAGAAAATAAAACATTAAAATGCCAAAATAAAAGAAAATTGACTTACTAGCATGCTTGTCTGCAAGCATTATAAGACTGTTGGAAATGTCTCGCCGTCTATAAAAGCATACTACTTTTGCTTCCACGTTGCCATTCGCTGTCTAAGAAAAAGGAAAAAAAAAACCAAGTCATCTCTGCTGAATATTAGATTCAAACAGCTTTCAAAATAAGAGTATTAATGGTATATCATCAATTTACGAGCTTTCTTATATAATCTATTCAATACTTTTATATGATGAAATAGGTCTAAGAAAATTCATATTCAAAAGTAATAATCAACATTTGCTCAATTTCTGGCATAAACTGAATGTATATTTTAAAATAACATGTTAGCATAAATAAGCTGATATGATTTGAATACCTTAAATGCTAAAATCTGTTGTATTAGCCTGATTAAGTACAAGAAATTAATAAAAAAAATTTTAACTAATTTTGATATTTAAGAATTATTTTCCCTCCCAACCTATTCAAAGGATGCATATGCCAACCTGCAGGCAAACAGCCTTTCCCCATTTTCCCTCCATACTAGTTTGACACCAATGCTGTATTGGTACAAGGGAAAAGAATGACTTTATGATGACCCAATGAGCCAAGAGATTCTACAAATCTATGATAGTCAATATTCTTAGTACTATTTAGTTTACTTTCATGAGTTACAAACATATCAACTCTTTTTACTTCTTGGCTACAGCACATGATATAATCAATATTCAGTTGTTATAATTTACTGCAGCTGGTGCTCTCTACCCTACTGTCAACTCTATTAATTCTGAAAGCTTTCAAGAAAGTCTATCATTCACTATGAAGCTTCATTTAAAAAAAAAAATACCTACCTACGATAGAATGTTATGACTTCTATTTTCACACAAATTTTCCAAATTTCTCTGAAAATGTGGATACAACTAAATATGAATTAAAAGACCTAAGTAGACTATAAATTAGGCAGTAAAATTGTCAAATTTATGTAGTTCAACAGCAATATTTTAGAATGAAAAATGTTGTAGAATTATTGCTCCACAAAACTGTAATCATTTAAATCCTAGTCAAAATAATACCATATCTCAAAATACTAGTATAGAAAACATACTTCAAAATCACCAATTCAGCAATCTTATGAATGAAAAAGCCAAGCAAATGCAAATAACCCATCAAAAGCCTCAACTACAAGCTAATTATTTTTTGTCAATGGAAACCCTAATGAAAATTCAAGGAGCGGATATCACAGTGAAATGGAAGGAGGTGAATTTGGAATCTGAGGACCTAGGCTGAAATCACCTTGCCTACTGACTACTCAATGTCAGTTCTCCTCTCTCGGTGTCAGTTTTCTCATCCTCATCTATAAAATGAAGAGCTAGTCTAAATGACTTTTATGGTCACTTCCTGCTTTAAATTTTATGATCTTAAGTGGAAAACACGATGTTTCAACACCTTTTTTTTTTTGCACTGAATTCATTTTCAGTGGTGAAGTTTCTACTAGTAAGCACTACAAAGTTAATTTAGTCAGTATGCCTGGCATGTTGTAAGGGCTTAATAAATGCTTGCTGGTTTATTAAAATATGCTTATTCATAAAATGGAAGACATGCTTTCAGCTCCATCTAATTTCTTCTTTCATTTTCTCTTGACTGATTAATAAGCCAAGCCCTGGAGTTGCTGGTAAACACTTGGGGATATATAAAACAGAGAAGGGTGCTTTGGACCCCCAACCTTTTTCCCAGCATAGACCTCTGCACTCTTACCAGCCTCAACTTGAGTTAAACATTTCAGAAAAATAAAAGTCTGGTAAAGTTTTTATATTTCAATTCTTATCTTCTCAATCCATTAGGGAAAAGAAAGTCTGAAATAAAAATCTGCTGAAGTTTTTCTGTCCCACTTCTTATCTCCTTCCCAGTCCATCAGGAGAGAATAAAGTCTGATTCCTCCAGCTATGTTTCATTTTCCAAAGCTTCTCTTCTTTACTTAATACATATTTGTTGTTGTTAACTCATAGCTTTCTGACTCATGATTTGCCTAGCTTTAGAGAACTGTCTGAACCATCCTCCTTGAGTCAGAATTGGAAGTTGGCTAACATCACCAGGCGAACACAAGAGGACCTTCCCTCTACAGGCTGATCTTGAATTTACCTAGAGTCCCAAAAATGGTAAACCTAAACAGATCAAAACCTCCACAGGGTAATATCAGAAGCGATATGCAAACTGTTCCAGAAAAGCAATAATTACAATGAGGCTCAATATCCCAGGTCTACTTGGGCATAGACTGGACCATACTCAGCAACCCAGGGACTTTGAAGGCTGAGACCAGATTTTCTTTAGTTTACTCAAATCTAGGCTTACATCACAAGGGCTGGTCTATAATTCCATCAGCTTCCAGATAAAAGGTTCTTAACTTTTTTCAGTAGTGTGGTGAAGCTTATGGACACCTCAAAATATAATAAAATACAAAAGATTACAAAGGAAACCAATTATAATGAAAGTTATCAAAAAACTTTGTTTTTAAGTTCACAGATCCCAGGTCAAAAAGTTTGGTTTTAGGCAAGAGCAACATTCATTTAGCCCAGCACTCATCCAGTAACATTCAGCTAATCAGCACACAGCTCCATTAGTTATTTTCTCCTTTTCAAATAACATTATAAAATGCTAGCAATCAAAAAGTGTTTAACTATGTATTCTTACACTGCTACGCTTACATCTCTCAATTTACTGTGGAGAAATAAAAGGGTAGTTAGAAACCTATAGTCCATATGCAGTTCATGATTTCTTTAGCATATCTTCATTTCTTCAAATATCTCTAATTTCATTAGCATGGATACCACCAAAGCAGACCACAATCCCTTCTTAACTTAAATCTTCCAGGCTTAGTCTTAGGAAGAGTTTGAGAAAACATACTTCCCTCCCTTCTTTTCAGAGGAAGGGAGGAGGCTCCACACTGGTTATGCCAAATTGTCAGATTCCACTGACGTACTTGTTGACTTTGATCTTCTTTTTTCTCCTCTTTTTTAAATCTTTATTAGAAGGAATGGCTGCCTAGCTAGGGTGGGCCAACATAATATTCAGAAATGAAGGAGATATTAAAAAAAAGATCAATAGATTTGTTAACTTAGGTCTCCTTGGCTGCCATGGCCAGAAGACTCTTCACTCTGCAGTCAACTTCATGAGCTTCGCTGAGCTTAGTTCAGATTATCTATGGGCAACAGACATGATGTTCATCAAATGGGTCCATGCTAGAAGGTTTTTCCAGTTTGATAGAACTTTCCAGCGCTCAAGCACCTCTGGCATATACTTTGAAGACCCAAGGTCACCTCTACTCCACAATAAAGCAAAACAGTAATATTCTGGTAGAGGGTTTATAGTACCTACAGTAGAAATACATCCTAATTCAATTCAAACAATTATTTATCTTATCAATATATAGACATCAGGGACTGAGTTCCGCATAAAAAACATTTCATTTTATATAGTCCTAACCATATACAAGTACTAGATTCAAATTAATCAAGTTTATAACTTCTTTCACAAGTTTATTATTCTCCTAAGTATGTAATGTTAAAGAAACAATAATAGCATTAATAATAATAATTGACTTTATATATGGCTTTAGACTTGCAAAGTTTTATATATATATACATATATATACATATATATGTATATATGTATGTATGTGTGCGTGGATATAGTCATAGACATAGAAACAGATATAGATCCTCAACAGTCATTTTCTAAGGTAGATACTACAGGTAGTCCTTATTTTTACAGATGAAAAACTTGATGATGAGGGAGGTTAAACCTGAAGTCTCATAAACATCTTAAACTAAACATGTCCAAAACTGAACTCATTCTCTTTCCCTCCAAGCCCTCCCTTCTTCCCAACTTTCCTATTACTTTTGAGGGTATCACTATCTTCCCAATTACCCAGGCTCACAACTTAGTATCATCCTCAACTCCTCATTCTCTCACCACCACCACCTCCCCATTCCCAATCTGTTGCCAAGTTTTATTGATATGCCATTCCAACATCTCTCATATTTTATACCCACTTTTCTCGTCTGACATTGTCACCCCACTCGGGCAGGCCCTCATCATTCCATACCTGGACTACTATAATAGCCTGCTGATTGGTCTCCCTGCCTCAAGTCTCTCTGTATTCTAGTCCATCCTTCTCTCAGCTATCAAAGTGACCTTCCTATAAAGTACAAGCGTGACCATATCTCTCTCTCTCTCTCTCTCTCTCTCTCTCTCTCTCTCTCACACACACACACACACACACACACACACACACACACACACACACAC